TTGGGCCAAAGATTGTAAATCTAAATTTGATATAGACGGAAAAGCTATTCCGGGAAACGCCAAACAGGGGACCCCCCCCCCCAGGCCCCTTACAACAAAAACCAGGGGCAAATTCTATCTTTTCCCTCAAACCCTCAACATCTGGCAGTGCTGCCGTCAATATACCAGCCCTATATGATTTTTTTCCTTTACCCTCAAGCACTCACTTCTAGAGTACCTACCGGACTTTTTGGACGCCTGCCACCACAAAACTGGCCTTTCACTTGGCCAATCTAGTTTGACTTCTAAAGGAATTACTGTTCACCCTGGAATAATTGATTCAGATTATAAAGGAGAGATTAAAATTATGATGTCATCTCGGATTCTATGGCAATTCAAAAAGGGGGACAAAATTGCTCAATTACTTCTTTTGCCTTAAATTTCCAAACATTTATGGCCCAAATCCTGGCCTATACAGAAAATCTCTTGACAAATTGGAGGAATTTCTCAAACCAAAGTATAAGAAATTTATCAATATGTTCAAATCGATGCATATGAAGGACCAAAAGGTCTGCCTGCAACATTAAGACCTTATGTGATAGATGCACCACTTAATCAAATAGGAAGGGACTTACTTATGCAATGGCAAACTCAGATACACATTCCACATATTTCCTAGGGGCCACTGCTCATTTAACAAACAAAGCAATTATTAAAATAACTTGGAAGAATGACGAGCCTATTTGGACAGAACAATGGCCCCTTACAAAAGAAAAATTACAGGCTACTAAAGAGCTTATAGACACACACTTAGAATTAAAACATATTGAGGAATCTTACTCTCCTTGGAACTCTCCTATTTTTGTTATAAAAAAGAAATCTAACAAATGACGTCTCTTAAAAGACCTTAGAAAGGTTAATGCATCTATGAAACCTATGGGTGCACTACAACCAGGGATCCCATCACCTACTACTATTTCTCAAACGTGGCACATTATTAGTACTGATTTACAAGATTGCTTTTTGAATATACCTTTACATACTTTAGAACGAGAGAGATTCACTCTCTCTTCCTTTTCCTAATCACATCGGTCCTCACAAAGAGATTTCAATAGAATGTGTTACCTCAAGGTATGCTTAACAGTCCAACTATTCGTCAAAATTTTGTAGCCAAGGCTTTACATCCAATGTGACAGCAATTCCCTCATGCATATATCATTAATAACATACTATAACTACAAAAAGGAAAAATCACATTTTTGACACTGAATGCCCATGATATACTTTAGACTCCAGAAAAAATTGATTAAAATAAAATCTTTTTTGAAATTGCAAAACCAGCTCTTCTTACACGTGCAGTTAGGAAAAGGTTAACTTGTTAAAATACACTTTTGGAGCTCCAATTCTGCTGGGGAAACAAAAACAGGACTAAGAAAAAACCTAAAGTTAACTCTTATCATGTCCTTGGGATTAAAAAACAAAGATTATTTACTGCCCTTTCTTTGTCTGTGAACCATGTTTATACCACTGAAACTTTAGGGAAAGAGTTAGGGAACGAATAAAGAACACCATGCAAAGGGTTTACTAATAAGAACTTTAAATATAATCTGGTTCGTTGGGACAGATGTCAGGCCAAATCAGGAAAATTAATGTCTGTGGCTAATCATACAATTGTCGATGGGTGACCCCATGGTATGTGGTTATCTAACTGCTCAGATGACATTAACAGCACTGTGTGTGATTATGCTACTCAAGTAACATAGGTTACTAACACTGCAATGGAACATTACCATGACAAAGGACTTCTTGGCTGGCTTGACGGTGGAATGGCACCCCCTCATCCTCCAATCGTCCTCGATAAACAGATTGGGCCTGAACAATGGGACATCTGGAAACTTGCTGTGAGCTCCGAAGAACTTGGGACTTGGATTGGACATTTCACAGGGACCAATCGTAGTCACAGAAACTATTTCGTTATAATCAATCATACGTCATACAAGCCTGTGTTCCCCTCCCTTGTATTCTAGCTACAGGAAGTTTACAATTCAGTAAGACTTTACATTCTGTAACTTGTATAAATTGCAAATTATATACTTGTCTTAACACTTCTACTTCCTTAAGAAATGAATCCCGTTTGAGTCTTCGATCTCCACGTAGTCTGTGGTTACCAATAAATCTCCAGTGGCCCTGGGAAGAAGGGCCCATGGCTGGACTTGCTTCCCGGTTACTTACTAAACCGCTCTGGCGATCTAAACGATTCATTGGATGGCTGATTCTTGGCATTTTGGGATTAACAGCTATTTGAACCACTGCTGCTGTCACTTGCGTTGCTTTACAAACCTCAACTCAAACACATAATTTTATCCAAAATTGGACTAAAGATGCTCATACTATGTGGGCCACTCAGACTCAGAGAGATGAGGATATTCAAGATGAAATACAAGAACTAAAAACAGCCATCAAATGGGTTGGAGATCAATAGATGTTAAAACAGGTGATGCTAAAATGTGATTGGAATTCTTCTCAATTTTGTGTTACTCCTGTTCAATAATAGTACCTACAACTGAGAACAAATCAAATGTCATTTACAAAACATACATGATAATGCCTCTCTGAATGTAGAATTATGACAAAAAGAAATCTTTGAAACCTTTTCCAAAAATATGCCCTCTTCCACTAACTTTGAAACTTTAGCTGAACGACTAGCTGATCAATTATCTGGGCTAGAGCCACGCGGATGGTTTCAAAGCATTACGCACAGCATCAGGTCTGGAACTGTAATTTTGGTGATTGTCTTGACGATTGTATTTGTTTACCATTGCCTTCATGCAAAAATTGTTAAAAGAAACTCAAATGGTCAGAACCCTTTTTAACAAATATTGTAAATAAATAAGGGGGAATTGTCAGTGAATGTTTAACAGGAGGATTCTTATGTGCTGTTTCTCATAAATCCTCTGTTCCTTATAAGTTTCTGTTCTCAGAAACCAGTGGAACAGCACGCTGCTCCCAGGACTGAGGTCATAGGATGAGAGAGGCTTGAATCTCCTTCAGTAAACATTCTCCTTACGACAAAACCGCTTAGTCTCGATCCCCTTTCTTGAGATATGGATTGTCTCTTGACCTTGTGACCATTATTAATCCCTTGTTCCCTTGTTAACGGTTGCTGTACATTTGGCTTTCTGATCTTTATTATCATCGAAAGAAATTTCTTGTAAAACAGCCTATATATACTCACAGAAAGATCATTAAAGCACCTTTGCTCCATCAGAGCTTGGGTCCCCGTGTATTTCTCTCTCTCTCTCACTTTCTTATCATTGACCTTGGACCACCAGGTTCTGGTCCATTAAAGAACCCCAACAGATTGCAATGCAATATATTCTTTAACCCTACAACTATTGTTAATACAGCTTTATTTGTTTTAAATTTTTTAAACTTACGGCAAGGGGATATTTTGATAAAAGCAGAAAAAGATTTTGAGGCATTGAAGGTATATACCTTCCTTCCTCTGCCCATCTGGTATTAAGACGGGTTGACTCAACAATGGGAATCTGGAAAATTAATATTACAAGGAAAGGGGTATGCTTGTATTTCTCCAGATGGACCCAAAGAAATCAGCTGGCTCCCTCTTCAGATCTGCCCCAGGGAAGACACCGGCATTCAACATAGAGAAGAAATGGCGAAATCACCAGGAGGAGGAGTTTCCAGTAGAAGCCATGGTAACTTTAAATTTCCAACAAATGCTGCACTCAAGGTAATTGACCTTATGACCTCCCCACTTGGGGACAGATAAAAACCCTTATTAATCAAGCTGAATATCTGGTTTCTCAATAGGGAATGCCTCAGAATCCAGAAAATATTTTTGTCGCTATGCTTGCTTTTGCTTCCCCTGCTCAGGCTGACTTGATTAATCACACTTATTTGGCTTATATATCTAACCCCTCTTTATTTTAGGTTGTAGAAAAGACAGATATAGGACCGGTTGTATCCACTAATGACTCAGTACATATGCCTCGTCCTTGGAGCTTGGAGGGGTGCTTTCATCCTGAGGAAGAAGGAAGATTAATTAACATTTTTCTAGGCTATGAAATCCTTCCTTTATGCATAGGCCCAGCAGAATTATGTATTAATGTTAGTCAACAAACGGCGGCTTTCATCCTGCCTTGAAAAAAGAACTTCCGCACATTGTTTAGACTGTTTACTGCCCTATCCTCTTATGAGAACCATGTCAATACTACCAAAACTCTAGGAAAAGGACAAAAGTTGGAAAGATTTACTTAATAAGGATTTTAAATACACTCCTGTTTATTGAGATACATTTCAATCTAAATCATGGAAATTAATGTTTGTGGCCAATTACACCATTGTTGATTGGGGACCCTATGGTATATGGTTATCTAACTGCTCAGATGATATTAACAGTACTATGTGTGATTATGTTACTCAACTAACATGGAAGATTACCAACAGTTCAAAGGAACACTTCCATGACAAAGGACTCCTTGGCTGGCTTGATGGAGGAATGGTACCTCCTCGCCCTCAAAACGGCCTCACTAAACGAATTGGGCCTGAACAATGGGACATCTGGAAACTTGCTACAAACACTGAATAACTTGGAACTTGGACTGGATATTTCACAGGGACCAGTCATAGTCATAGTAACTATTCCTTTCATTATAATCATTCATATTTTATACAAGCTGGTGTACCCCTTCCTTTTGTTATAGCCATAGGAAACTTAAAATTTAATAAGACTTTACGTTCTGAGGCTTGTATAGACTGCAAATTGTATACTTGTCTTAATTTCTCTATTTCTCTAAAAAAACAAATTCCTTTTGATTCTTCAATCTCGATGTAGTCTGTGGTTGCCAGCAGATCGCCAATAACCCTGGAAAGAGGGTCTCATGCCAAGACCTGCTTCCCAGTTACTCACTAAATTACTGCAACGAGATGGTTTATTCTTGCATTTTGGGATTGATAGCCATTTGCATCACTACTGCTGTCACAGACATTGCTTTACAAACTTCAAATCAAACACAAAACTTTATTCAAAATTGGATTAAAGATGCTCATACTATATGGGTCACTCAGGTTCAGATAGATGAAAAAGTTCAAGATAAAATTCAGGAATTAAAAACAGCCATCCAATGGGCTGGAGATCAATTAATAGATTCACAAAAACAAGTATTATTAAATTGATTGGAATTCTTCTCAATTTTGTATCACTCCTCTTTAGTTCAACCACAGTGCTTACAATTCGGAACAAATCAAATTTCATTTGTAAGATATACATGATAATGCTTCCTTACATGTACAATTGCTGCAAAAGGAAATCCTTGAAACCTTCTCTAAGAGTCTACCCTCTTCCAACAATTTGGAAACCTTAGCTGAACAGCTCGCTGCTCAATTATCTGGGCTAGATTCTCGAAGATGGTTTCAAGGCATTACACATAGTATTGGATTGGGAACTATTGACACTGATAATTATCCTGGTGATTATACTTGTAATAAATAGATGCCTTTCAACTAAAATTGTTCAAACTAAACAAACTCAATTGGTCAGGGCCTTTTTCACAAAAAGTATTAACAGTCACCCCCAATCATAAAAAAATTAAAAAGGGTGAACTGTCAGGGGACATTCAACTTTAAGGGATCCAATATGTTATTTTCTTCTTCTGTGTGCCGTTTCTCAAGGACTCTCTATTCCTTATCAGTTCCTGGAAAACAGGAACGAGCAGAGCTGCACCCAGTTCTCAGGACTGAGATCATGAGAAAGGCCACCTGCTTGGATTCCTTTCAGTGACTCCTTTCAGTGACCTTTTACTTATAGGTAATCTATTCAGTTATGTTCCTCTTACTCAGGATATGGAATGCTCTCTGGCCCTTTGAAGATTGTTATTTGCTTGGCTTTGTTTCTGCTCAATTTTTTTTTACTGCCTTAAAGCTGCCTTGTATGAAGATACATAATCATGCGTTTCTGCATATAAAGCACCCTTGTCTCACTCGAGACTCGGGTCCCCTGCGTCCTTCTTCTCGTCAACTCCAGTCCCCAGGTCCCGGACAGCTCTGTCTTCAATTTCCACAAATAAGAGTAACTCTTCTTTAATCACACATACAACAGTTATTTCTATCCAATGGAGAACATGACCCTTTCCCTATGCATTGTTTCTAGCACACCACTGGTCGCTGGTAACTGTCCCTCTCCTCCTACGAAAAGCCCAGTCCTTTTAACATCTTGCCTACTCTGTTCAAGGTCAGTTGGTAGAACATTATCTTTTATAACAGGCCGGACTATGTACAGAAAGGCTTCCTGATCCTACTGACCATGATGAGTCATGTCCTAGGTTTACATTATTTTCCGCCCTCCCTGTTGCTAATTCACACACACTACTGAAATTCATAATTCAGGCTGTGTGTTTTTCCAGGAAACACGGATCTGAATGAATCGTATCTAATGAAGTTGGCCCCTTCATCTCACTGATTCCTTCCCAGAGACCATCATGAAACACATGTAGCAAATGCGTTTGATCAATGTATTACCAAAGCCAAGCTCTTAGAGCTCACCATGCAACAGGCCAATAAGCTGAGAGACTACTTGTTGGGCAAGGAATATTGACTTTATTCAGAAAGCCAGGAGACCAAAAAGATGGTGGACTTCTGTCCCAAAGAATCATCTTTGCTGAGTTAGAATTTGGGTTTCTTTTACGCGAAAAGATCTCTATAGCTTCTCTTCAACTATGAACTTACTACAGTTGCTGAGTAACTGAACTAAAGTCATCAGAGAATACATAAAGTGAAAAAGGTAAAGATTTGCCACAACCACTGAGTCTGGGAAGTATGGCTCCATTATGTTCCTGTCTTGTGACTTTTGGGTAAGATCCTTGCCACACACATTACATTGCTGTGTGTTTTTTCCAGGATAAATACTCTGATACTACTGGCAAGATGTGAGCTGTGAAGACAGGGTTTTTGTTTTTCTTTTTCACATTTGTGAAACTGGTCAGGAATCTTTCTAGAATGAACTCATGTTCTAAAGACCTGACTAATAAATACATATATACCTGGCTTCTATCCAGTATGAATTTTCTCATGAAGCCTGAGATGTTGCCACACTCATCATATTTGTATGGTTCCTGAGTAGTATGAATTCTCTGACCAACGGTAGGGTGTGAAGTTTGAACTTTGAATTTTGAAGACTTACCATATACCACATTCACATAAGTTTCTCTCTGGTATGGATTTTCTGATGTTTAGTGAGTGCTGAGACCTGAGTAAAGGATTTTCCACACTCGAAACATTTGAAAGGTTTCTCTATATGTATTCTCCGATGACTTGCAAGGTGTGAATTTCGACTGAAGAACTTGCCACAGTCATTACATCTGAAAGGTCTCTCTCCAGTATGAATTCTCCAATGAAGGCGAAGATGTGGTTTTTGACTGAAGACTTTTCCACACTCATCACATTTGTAAGGTTTCTCACCAGTATGAACTGTCTGATGACTTAAAAGGGTTGACTTTGCACGAAAGGCCTTGCCACACTCATCACATTTGTAAGGTTTCTCTCCAGTATGAAATCTCTTATGACTTATGATCTGTGAAGGCTGACTAAAGTGCTTGCCACACTCATTACATTTGTAAGGTTTCTCTCCAGTATGAACCCTCTGATGACCACCAGCAAGGTATTCATTTCGGCTGAATACTTTGTCACATAAATTACATTTAAATAATTTCTTTCCTGTATGAATTTTGTGATGTCTCCTGAGGTGTGAGCTGGCAGTAAAGGCCTTGCCACACTCATCACATTTGTAACGTTTCTCACCAGTATGAATTGTCTGATGCCTTAAAAGGCTTGACTTTACACGAAAGGCCTTGCCACACTCATCACACTTGTAAGGTTTCTCTCCAGTATGAACTGTCTGATGACTTAAAAGATTTGACTTTACACGAAAGGCCTTGCCACACTCATCACATTTGTAAGGTTTCTCTCCAGTATGAAATCTCTTATGACTTATGATCTGTGAAGGCTGACTAAAGTGCTTGCCACACTCATTACATTTGTAAGGTTTCTCTCCAGTATGAACCCTCTGATGACCAGCAAGGTGTGCATTTCTGCTGAAGACTTTGTCACATATATCACATTTAAACAATTTCTTTCCTGTATGAATTTTCTGATGTCTCCTGAGGTTTGAGCTGTCAGTAAAGGTTTTGCCACACTCTTTACATTGGTAACTTCTCTTTCCTGCAAGGATATTCTGATGACTTCCAAGGAATGAATTCGGACCAAAGATTTTACCACATATATCACATTTATGTAAGTTTGCTCCCGAGTGGATTATCTGATGTCTAGCAAGGGTGGAGCTATCATTAAAGGTTTTGCCACACTCATTACATTTGTAACATTTCACTTCAGAATGAATTTTCAAATGACGTGCAAGCTGTGAACTTTGATCAAACAATTTGTCACATACTTCACATTTATGTGATTTCTCTCTTATATGGATGGCCTAATGTTTAATGAGGTATGAGCCCTCAAGATAGGCTTTCCCACACTCATCACATTTGTAAGGTTTTTCCCTGTGTGCTTTGAGGTCTTGTGTTATTACTGAAGGATTCATGAAATCATTCCCATATATGTTAGAAACACTGGTTTGGACACAAGGAGGAATTCTTTGAAGTGGTGAGAATGAGAAACTGTTGTTGACAGACCTCTCAACTTCATTATATTCAGAAATTGTCCTGCCAGTTTGAAATATCTGCAGTTTATCTTGAAAGTTAAATCCAAGCCTGTTTCCAAAGGGCTTGATTCCTGCATCCTTTCTAGCATGTGAATCTCTTCCATCAGGCACATTTCCATCAAGGCTTACATGTGTTCCTTTGTAATTTCTTTTGTCATCTCTCCCGTGACACTCAATGTCACACATATTTTCCTGACTTTCCCAAAGATGAAAATGTTTGATTTCACAGCTTTCAGGTCTTCCAAGCATCAATGTTTGGAATGGTTCTTGTTTATCACTGTTTGCTTTGGGTTGTAAATGCTTGATCACATGTATAGGAGAGATATCTACAAGATAAAAAGAACTATAGGTACCTGCTCACAATAATTCGAAAGTAAATGTGTCATGTTGAATATATATTACACCAAAAGTAATATTTACACCAAGTTATGAAACACCACAATGATGACCTTAAGTCTTTAGAAACACTAAAGGAATATAATTCTTAAGAAAGCATGATAACATAAATTCACAGTTAATGTAGCCTAGTTTTAAAAACCATATGCCAAACACACTCACTTTGGACAATCTTATGCCAATTCTCAAAAACAGAGTTATTTTCTACCAGGACCCCTAGGAACGTATCAATCAACAGTTGTCTCAAATTGAAAAGAAAACTATTACACTATCATTGTATTCTGCATACTTACTGTACATAAATAAATTCTAAACAACATATTATATATTGTAACAGTAAATAATCCCAAACCAAGCTTACCCAATTAATAATTAACTATTCATAATTGGCTGTTTATAATTGAAAACAAATGAGAAAATGAAGAATGTGACTAAAACAATTTTTTGGAAACAACATAGTTTTCTAAATCTGCTACAGAACTATGTACCCAAAAAGAAAGGCATTTTACAATGTTAACAAGTAGTATGTGTCAGCTGTAGTGCAGAACACACGCTCAAGGACCATCACCTGTAAATGACACATAAACTGAGACGTAAAATATTCACCAGTTTTCTAACAGCCAAGAACCAAAGCAATCCCTGCCTATGTTGTTGTTGTTCAGTCGCTCAGTTGTGTTTGACTCTTTGCGACCCCGTGGACTGTAGCCCACAGGACTCCTCTGTCCATGGGATTTCCCAGGTAAGAATAATGGAGTGGGTTGCCATTTCCTTCTCCATGGGATCTTCCTGACTCAGGGATCAAACTTGCATCTTCTGCATTAGCAGGTGAATTCTTTACCACTGAGCCACCAAGGAAGGCTAATCTCTAGCCATGCACTGTTCTTAATTACCTGGTTTTTGGCACCAAACTGTAATAAATAAAAAGTGAGTGCTTTGTGTATTTATTGACTAGGGCTAGACACAGTATTGCTGAAAAATGTTGCAAGTGAAAAGTGTACAAGATATAATGAGTTGAGGTTTGACAGAAAACAAAATTCTGTAAAGCAATTATTTTTCCAATTAAAAAATAAAATTTTAAAAAGATATAATGTAGATAAAGTCATATCATCAAGAATATGACAGAATATAGACACTACCTTTTTTAAACAAAAGTTAATTTTGAGTATTTACTATAAAACATGCACTACTGTAAGCCAACTGACAGCACTAATTTGCCTTAAAAGGCTTGAGGTAAATTAACATGTTTTTTCTCTAATCAGAGCAGGAAAAACACCCAATTGGCCCACAAAGTGGTAAGAGAACCAGGATATGAATCTGAACATACAGACTGAGAAAACTTATTTGTAAACATGACCACCCACCGAAGGAGTAGATTAGAAAATATTTAAAGAAAAAAAAAAAAAGGAACTTAGAAAGAAAATACCAAGGAAAATATAAGACAGAAGTAGTCTGTTTAACTATTATTCACCACCCCATCTCGAAATGGTTTGTGAGTCATCATGGATGCACAGAGTGATTGAGGTCATGTCCTGAGAAACTTGTTCAATAAATGACCAGAGATAATCTTTACAGTGGGAGTATGGAGAAGGTGGAGGGAGGTGGTAGCTAAGAACAATGTTTCCATCCGTATCAAGCTACTATGTGAAGAATGGTCAGGACTAACAAAGGGCCTGCATGGAGCATAAGGTACACAGGTTTATGTCAGATATCAGCTTGGGACTGCATGTCTTTGTGAAAATAACTGAGAGCACAAACTAATATACTGATCTTAAAAGAAAAGAACTGGTTCAGCAAGTTTATCGGCATTGTACTATGGGTACAGGAGAGAAACAAGAGAGATTTTAAAAGTGACTGTGATATATGGAGAAAGCAGGATAATACCTGTTATACTATTTACAATGTAATGTATCCAACTGTGAAGTAAGTTACAATGGAATGCTTATATTCAAGAAAAACATACACAATATTCCAGGATATTGTGTGAGAATCTTATTAGCAGAAATCAGAAGGAACATCCAGGAAAAGCCTATCTAAACCTGGGTTCCTCTGCCAAGTATGATTAACCTCTCTATTGGACATTTACTT